AGTAGTCCATTTGTTTCTTCTTCCCTCCTAATTAAGAACTTTAAAATGCAGAACAAGTTAGCCTTATTCTTTTGTTAGACTTGAAATGGTTGCTAAAAGACAGACCCTTTGAGGAAAAAATCCTGCAAAAAGCAGTGTGAAATCATTCAAGAAACATACCTTGACACTCTTCTTTTCATCTGACCCTTCTGTCATAAGATAAGCCTTATCTCCATCGGTCCCTTCCACGCTGAGGAAGCAGTTTGTTGTGTGGCCAATCCCACTAGGAAGTACCTTATCCCACAGCATTGCATTAATGACTGAACTTTTCCCACTGCTTGTTCTAGAGGGATAGAAAATAAAAGCCCTTTGAGCAGAGCACAGCAACATTAAACACACCTTTGTCCTGAACTGAACAGCACAAGCTGTTATGGGTACAGAGCTCCAGGCCAGCACAGCACAGCTGGCCAGGAAAGAGTGAGGAGTGTGGAATTAAAGGAACTGGTCCCCAACTCCAAATTCTGCAACAACTCGAAGTACTCAGCAAAGTTCTACTTCACATTAACCCTCTACCCCTCACCCATATATATCTGAGGTTTAACTATTACACAACAGCATGAAGTTACACAGACTGTAATTCATTTTTGAGCTCCTTCTTCTAGAAAAAGTTCAGTGCTCACTGTATGAGACTTAAATTTATTCAAAACATCAGAGGGAGAGGAAAACTCTCTTTTTCCTGCTCTGAACTTCTGTCCTTTGCAAAAGCAACTTTCATTACACACCACAGCTTGTAAATGTATTCAACTTTTACCTTTGTGAAATATCAAGGCTGAGATATAACAAATGTCTTTAATCCAGAACTTTTGAGTTTTTCTTTAAATAACTATTTTTAGCAAAATGAAGGCAAGACCACCGTTGTACACATTATTTCCAATACAATTCTGGAATTTTTAGAACTAAACCATGAAGATTTATACTCCATAAAAATATGCAACCACACACTTAAACGTAAGCACAGAAAAATCAATCTCCCTGAAGGAAAGGGGACTAACAGACCTCATTGTTACTGTTATCCCTCCACATCATCACACAGCTCTATCAGACTAATGATACAACCCACAAGGTGACTGTCTCTATTTCTCTTCAGCTGCTTATATACAGAAACATGAACAGCTCATAGTTCAGTTCCTCAGCACCCGTGAACAAACACAAACAAAACTTAACAACAGATACAGCCCAGAAAAAAAATATTAAATGAACAAAACCACCACTTAAAAAAACCCAAAAAAGCCATCCTGGAGAAGATGACAACAAACTCAGGCCTTACCAAGTCAAATAATGGATGTAGACAGGATAATTATTTTCCAAAGTTTATCAAAGAAAACCATGTAACAAGACATAGGTAAATAATATACAGTCAGGAAACAAGAAGGCATCAAAGAAATATTCAGCATCAATTAGGTAATTATGGTTTTATGTACTACATTTCATACAATAACTTTACAATGAAGCACTAATTCTAGTGCATTTCAATTAGAAATACAAACATTAAGCTCTACAAGGAAAAAAAATCAAATTAAGTTGTGGTAATTTCGTTCATTACCTGCCAAAAAATGCCACTTTCATGTGTCTCCGTGAAAGCACCTCACCAATGACTGCCAACTTGTTTTTATATGCTTGTATTTTTGCTAGTTCATCTTCTGTTGCTACACGCTCAAGCTCTGGGTTCCTGTACGTGGCTACACACAGAAAAGAAAAACATAAAAGCAATCATATACAGAGTACATGCTCTGTAGTACAGGGCACAGGTAATCAGCACTTCACATGCCAACAAAGATCACTGTGAATTTTAATTACGGTGATAAAACAAACCAAGCAAAACCTCACTACAGAAAGTGATATCAGCCCCTGTAATTTGATAGCTCCACCACAAGCACTTGTGAAGTCATGACATAAATCACTTCATATCAATCACTAATCTAACTGCTGATTCAGTAACCCTGTGAACACAGCCTGCTGTCCTCACTTGCCCTGCTCTTCGGGACACCTGCTTCCTTCAGAAAGGAAAGCCAGGACCCCTCATGGATACACCAGCTAAGTCGGGCTGTCTTCTCCCCACAAAACTCCCAGGGGTGATGAGGAACCAACTCCACGTGGCCACACTCACCCCTTCACGCTGCTAACACCTCTGAGGGTGTGACCAGTGGCTCCTGGCATGACATCATGTTGACCTACTTTCCTACTGAATAATGGGGGAACATGTTTGTCCTTCCTTCTATGCAAAAGAAAACACAACAGGACTACAGGTGGTTAAGCTTTCACCCTCACGGAAAGGAGGCCACGCTGCCAGTAACTTAATCAGCTTTTCACCTATGTAACCACGCCAGGCATTCCTGCCAGCCCACATCGAAAAAGAAAAAAAAGTGTCAAATGAAAAATGTGGCTACTTTTGTAGGCGCGTGTTTATACTAACAGCACAATAACAGGTAACATAATGTACACTGTGCTGCTGCAAAACATACTCGAAGTAAAGTTTAAGGAGAAAGCTCACCCTCCACAAACGCTGCCCCCTCAGTGACATAGTCCAGCAGCTGGTCGAAGATGGCAGTGATGGTCTTTTTGGCCAGCACGAAGTGCTTCAGCGGGGAGACGGAGCCTTCTGCCATGCTGCTGCTGCAAGGGAAGGTGTGCAAAAGTGACCAAAACACTCGGCACCCCCAACTTATGAAAAGTTACATACAGCCATTGAAAAAAACCACAAAACCAAAAAAAGGGCCAAAACTCCCAAATCAAAGCCCTGAACACCAACGAAGGGTAGGACGCTCAGTTTGCGCTGTTCGTGCCTATCTCCTGCCCTCATCACACGCGCCGAGAGTGGCTGGCGAAAGTTCGCACCGATCTGGATCCGTCCTGGAAACACGAGACTTTTCCCTCATCAAACGCGGCTCCAGCCTCCGCACCGCCCGCGGGTCAGCGCTGTGCCCCGGGCAGCGAGGACGGGCCCCGGTCCCTCACGGAGCCCGATGACCTCGGTCCATCACGGAGCCCCGGCTCTCCCTGCTCCCTCACGGACCCCGCTGCCCCTGGCCCCCCACGGAGCCCCGGCTGTCCCCGCTCCCTTACAGACCCCTCTGGCCCCGGTACCACACAGAGCCCCAGCTCTCCCCGATCCCTCACGGACCCTGCTGGCCCCGATCCCACACGAGCTCCGGCTCCCCCCGCTCCCTCACGGCCCCGGCGGTTCCCGTCTCCGCCGCCGGGACGGGTGGACGTCACGTTACGTCACTTCCTTTTCCTCCTCCTCTGACCCGCTGTCAACCCGCCTGAGGCGCCGCCATCTTTACTGCGGGCTGAGGGCGCCGCCGCCGCCATCTTGAGCGCGGGCGGGTCGCGAAATGGAGCCGGGCAGAGCCCGGGAAACACTGGGATAAGCACCCAGGGATCGAGTCCACAGCACCACGGTTTTATCACACACAGCTTCCAAGAGCTAAAGAGCACCGATAATTCATGTATTTGATAGAGGAGCATTAGAAAATGAGAACCACAGTAAAAAATCGGTGACAATGAGCATTATAGAGACCACATCATTTTGGAATTACTAATCTGCTGTATTTTAAATTCTTGGAATAATTTTTGGGATGTAAATTTTGTTTTGGAGCCAACAACGCTTCATATAAAAAAGTTCTTTTGCTCAATAACAAACATAATCCAGGAACCTAAAACACACAGAATCAGACTTGTTAAGGTTGGAAAAAAACCCTAAAATTATGGAGTCACACATCAAGCCTAAAGGTTTAAAAGTCTGAAAGGTGAAGAATCAAACACAAATCACTTGCCAAAGCAATCTCACGACTTTGCATAGCTTCTGGTCAGAATGCTGTTCCTGAAACAGCCGAACTTTGCAGGTACCAGTGAACAACTGGATGTCTTACACTTACTTGTCTCAGAGAAAAATAACAAATACTGGCATACTCCTGGTCACCACCGTTCACTTCTGTCATTCCAGGGATGAATGACATGAACTGCTTAAGCTACAAGGTGCCAGGTCTGTGGCAGTGTCACAGCAGCTGCTCATGTGCTCCCAGGTCACCTCAGCGCAGCAATGTCAGAGCACTCACCTTCCACTTACAGCTTCACCTAAATAAAGCACCCTAAATAAACCACTTTCCTTTGATGGCAGCAACACTCTGTCCTTGGCGTCCACAGCCATTACTTTCAGCCTTCCAACTTCTAGACAGACTCATTACCTATTTTTCCTACTATTTAATATCTTCCATGCTTTAATGTGCTGATTTTGTGGACACTGACAGTCTACTCGTGTTCCTTTTTAAAACTTTAACATAGGACATGTTACTCCTGTACACTTCCATTTACTCTCTGATAGATATTAAAAATACTAACATCAGTCCCTCATTTATAAAATCTGACCTAAGACAGCCTTAGATACACTTCCTATTTAGACACTGTGTTTTAGTTTGGAATGATTTGGCTTCATAACATTCCTATGGGGTATTGTTTTCATTCCCAGTTTAGGGATTAGAAATAAACCAGCTCAAAGACAGACATGAAGCTATTCAGGAGTCAACACTTAAGTTTGCTGTATCACAGGGCTCCCTGCCAGTACAAGACACCACCTCTCCTGTTGGGGACACAATGCTTATCTACAAATACACACACTTCTTAAGCCCATTTGTTTTATTGTTTGGTGTTTTAATGCCTTTTTTCCAGTTCTTGTCACTGTCCCCTGGAGCAGCTTCTCTCCACAGCTCAACTGTGCCATTCCACCTGTGTGTCATCATCAGGAACAGGGTTTCAAGTAAGCCAGCATATCCCCTCTTGGATATATAAACAAAATTAACTTTTCATATAGAAAATAATTCTCATTAGTGTTTCATTAACTATATTATTGCTACCATTTTAAGCCAGTCAGGAAGAATGTGTTCAAAATAGGAAATTAGCAATTCTACCACAGATACTGTCATTCTCTGTACAAGGGACTAATAAATTACAGCAGGACACCCTCAGGTTGCCCTTTTTAAATGACAAAACAGAAGATTTAGTAGTAAATCAGAATTTCAAAGTGACAGAAATGGTCTTGCATCCTATAACAAAATACACACTAACTGGTTCATAGACATTCCAGAAACACTCTTCTGGAAATCAGAACTTCCATAAACTGACAACATTCAGCCAATTTTTATCCTTATCTTTAAAAATCCAATGCATAGACTCTTGCACACCTTGAAGCTGATAACACCAAATCTCACTGATCAAGAAATGTTTTTATACATTAATTATCTCTATACAAAGCTTGCATTAGACAATCTTACATTACAAATTTACAATCAATGCAGAAAGAAAGGTAAACTCCATCAGTAATTTATGGGTATTTTCACCCTGATAACTAGCACAATCTAAGTGACCTCACTGTCCAAGTATCCCCTCGGAAATACAGCTACAGAATGAGCTGTAAAAATTCACTTCCAATGATTACAGTGGTAGGACAGCACTAACTAATATAAACAAATGTGTGAAATAATTTGAAAGTGATTAGTAAAAATTTTGTAATGTACCAGTGTTTTACGCCAGTATATAGAAGTTTAAAATTTACAGAATAACAGTCCTCAAATTACTAGTTGTGGAAAGCTAATTATAAATATACAGAATTATAACAATATAGACTCCTAGAGGTTTGCTCTAGTCAGAGGTTGGTGACATACAAAATTTCAGTCAGAGCTAAATTAGACTTTTATGTAAGAAATTCACTTTGTGCATTCTCACCTGGATCACTGCAATTCCTTTTGCACTTACTCCTTAGAACATGATCCAATCTACACACAAGCAATGTGTGTCTCCTCAGTGCATTAAAAGACAGGAACTGAAGGTAAATAAAGAGAATCCTGTAGTACATGTGTGGAAGAGAGGGTTGTTGGATAGTCCCACAGATGGGACTTGGAACAATGAACAAAGTGAACAAGGAGGTTGGATATGTACCCCAAGAAAAAGAGGAGACTTTTAAAAGCTTATCAAGAGTATGAGGTGGGAAATGAAGGCTGGTATGTGAATTTGGAGATGTCCATGCCTGGGAATTTTTGGAACACCCTTATCTTCGGCAGGCTGGTGCAACCTGCTAAACACCAGTGCAATGACCTGCTGCCACAGAGGGCAACATGAGCTGGACGTGGAACTGGGATCTATACTCTGTTACTGAGGCATGGAACTAGGTATTGGATTTGGTTTTGTACCTTTTTATCAGGAGAGCTGGTCCTGTACACTAAACATGAAGGAGTGGGATGACCATCAGAACTGCTATCACAGCATGCAACTACTCCCACTGTCCCTCCCCCCAAATCTGATCCATCACACTGTAGATGTGATTTTTCTTACTGAAACCCTTAGACAAGGAAATCCACAACACCAAGTTGTTATACATGCTTTGCTGATATAAAGATGAAAACATTAGAACTGTACAATTTCTATTAAAATTGTATTTAATTTCAGTGACTAAAAGTTAATTCCAATTCTAACAAATTGATTACAGGGAAAGAAAGCAATCACACCGTCTCATGTATCTGAAGATGACTTAAAAGATCTTTTTCATTCCCAAACCTCATTAAACAATCGGTACATTTATGAGGCAAATCTGCTGAATGCCTGAAATCCAAATGAGTTTTAAGGTCTTCAATCTGTCCTGTTGAATATTCACAGTATTGACACAAATAAATCCCTTCAGATAAATGAGAGCTCAGGTGCTTGCAATACTCCAACATACCTGAAAATCCCTTCCCACAGTCATCACAAACGTGAGGGAATATTTTGGTGTGCTCAATAGCTACATGCCTGTTGACATTGGTGTGCAGCCTGCTCCTAAAGCCGCACACCTGGCACACAAAGAAGTTTTTGCACTTGTCAAAACTGATCTTGTTTATGAGGCTGTACTGCCCACGCTCCTTGTTGTTGTAGCTGTCGCTCAGCTCTATCAGCCGACAGGCGTGTTCGTTCACCACGTGGCTGTGCAGATCCTCCGGGTCGTTGGTTTCGTGCTCGCAGAACTGGCACAGGTACTGCTCGTCACAGCTGTGCTCCTGGAAGTGCAGGTACAGCTCGCTGCTGGAGGAGAACTGCACGTCACACTGCTCACACCAGTACAGGTGGTCGTTGAAGTGAGTGTCTGCTATGTGCTGACTCAGATTCTCAAAGATCACCGTTTTGTAATTGCAGTATTTACAGATGTACGGGTCCTCCTCGTGCAGCTTGACGTGTTCAATGAGCTGCACTTTGCTGGAGAAGCTTTCTTTACAAACTTTGCAGACGTGAGTGTCTGTGCATGTCTTATGCTTCAGGATCATGTGCTGCTTTAAATCAGAGAAGTACTTGCTATTGAACTCGCAGAGCTCACACTTGTACAAGCCACTGCTGTTAGCTCTCAGCAGGGGCCACTTCTGTTGAGCTGTGATATTCAAAGCCTGGTTCTTCTCAAAGATTTTACAGGTCTCCAAGGGGATTTCCTCCAGGTCCTCAGCCTCCAGCTTCTCAGGTGACACAGTCTGTGTTTCTATATCGTGAACTTCTACAGCATTCACTTCTGTTGTAGAAATTTCTACCGTTTGGATATCTAGAGGTTTCTCTTCTTCTGTGGGGCTGTCACTGAATATAGGTGAGTCACATAAGTCTCTGCACATTCCATTGTTAGTACCTTTATCTGCAGGAGGAAATACATAACAAAACGTTGAAAAAAACTCACTGCAAAAGACCTGGGTCTATATTTAACTTTTCAGTCATTTGCAGCTTACAAATACAAAAAGCAGTTATTTTTCCCCTGCCAGACTACGCTGTATGTTCAGCTAACAAAGAAATACAAGAAACTACAAATGCCTCACGTCTTCTGTCAAAGCAAAGCACTTACATTAAAAGCCAGCAGCTGTGCTCTCCACCTTCCCAGCACCTCAGCTGCAAGCACACTGACCTTTACCTTTATCCTTCCTTTTAGGGTCTGTACAGTGCAGCCCCAGGTTTGATTGTGCCCCACTCCAGTGAGAACTCCCGGCATGCACCGGACTCCCATCATCATCCGTGTCCAGGCTCTGCACAGGACTGTGGAATCTGCCTGCAAAGGTAAGATAAGGATTTTCTTGTCATCATTTGTCCACACTAACATCGTTGTGTTTCCTTGATTTAATCATACATCTTATTTACTATTTAATTACTCCAGTTGCATAAATTTATCTTAATATACTAAGCACATCATAACCTACATTAAAAAAAGTAACAATAAATAGCTTAGAAATTATTTCCATACACGCAGAAGAAAAAAGAATTCAAAAGGTAGACACTCTGTCTTTAAAATTTCAGCAGAAGACAGTCAGCTGATTGTAATGGAAAAAAACCTTAAAGAAGCTTTACATTTAAGAGACACGATTAAAAAAAGTATTCTTAAATATTTCTGGACATCATATTTTAAAATATCATACTTTCTAAGACTTCTGGAGACTTGCTGGGTAAGTTATTAGAGTGAAAAGAAAAATAAATAAAAATCCACCATTGCATTTGCTCTGCTAAACTTTCCATCCACTGCTGGATGTTTTATAAAAAGGCATTTTGTTTTCCATAAGTACAGGTACAATACAATGCAACTGCTGGTAAATTTCATTTGAACTCATCAGCTTTACATTACCTAGCTAGTGGATATTTGAGGTAGTTTAATCACCATTATAAATGTAAAACTGAAGGATCTTTCTGTTGTCATTGTTTCTACTTTGAAAACTGTATTTCAGTTGTAACGATTAAACCACTTTCCACTAGTCTAAGGCCTATCAGATCACAACACTGCTCAGAAATCACCCTCTATATATCATGTATTCTATTTACTTCTACGAATAGGAGCATGACACACTTCCTAAAGAATTGCAGAACAAGACCCCAGAATGTAACCTTACCTCTGTTTGTATCTGGCTGTCTCATAGAACAGACACTATAACAGTGGTCAGAAAAAATTCCACTATTATCTATGTATCTGCTTGCACCTGAAGAATCTAAACCAAAACAAACAAAGAGTAAGTTTAAATACTAATACACTGATGTAGCTTCAGACATATTTCACGTTCATCAAAATTCTCTTCACATTTTTACCTGTTGTTTGGGGAGAATTCTGCGCTCACCTGACAACATTTCTGATGTTTGGAGTATCAGATAAAATCACTATCAAACTCTGCTCCCACTGAGGAGTGACAGGAGCACAGTCCATTCTGTGCTGAACACTTCCAGATACCCCCATCCCAACCTTTACAAAATTCCTCCCCTGTGTGTAAGCACAATCACCTTCATTTGTACCTTGAGCCAGTTTCCTCATTTGCAGGGAGTACAGAACAAAACTGTCCAGGTGCACAGGCATTGATCTCTTCTCTGTGGTGACCAGTGACAGGACTCAAGGGAATGGCCTGAAGTTGTCTTAGGGAAGGTTTAGGTTGGATATCAGGAAAAGGTTTTTCACCCAGGGAGTGGCTGGGCACTGGAACAGGCTCCCCAGGGAAGTGGTCACAGCCCCCAAGCTTGATGGAGTTCAAGGAGCATTAGGATGATACTCTCAGGAACATGGTGTGACTCTTGGGCTTGTCTGTGCAGGGCTAAGGGTTGGATTCAATGGATCCTTGTGGGTCCCTTCCAACTCAGCATATTCTGTCATGCTGTGACTCAGAGTAACCCAATAACGGAGCCCACAGAGTGGGTGCTTGGTACATTCGAGCCAAAACTTCTTATCCACCATTTGTGTCACTAATTTTCCACATATTAGCACACGCGGTCCCTTCTCATAAAGTTATTACTCTGAGAATAAAGATAAACTTTAGTAAAGTGTACATAACTCAAGCTCTAGACTGACCTGAGTACCGAGAAGGATGTAGAGTCTTCCTTTTCCTCTTTTTAGGATGTTCATTCATTTTGAACAGTCTGAATTTACTGTAAAGTAACAACATCCAAGAATTAGACTTTTTTTTATCTAGTTTATCTTTCAGGACCTTATGGAACAATACAGGCATTTTGAAAACCTGCCTATTAAATACAAGAGTTTTTTCCTACTCCCCTTTCTTGCCCCCCAGCCCATTTTTTTTACAGTTAAGAACACAAGAAGTGCACACAACTGCTTAAGTCCAGTTTCACATTCCTGCATTGGAACAAAAGAAGGTTCATCATAAAGACAGGCAGGTGAGGACTCGAGGCACTCCAGCACTCAGGGTCACCTACAAGGAAGGTCTGCAGCACCCTGCTGACATTTGTCAGAGACTGGATATTCTGAAGCAGAGCCCTTCAGAAACAAGTTTTAATGTTTAACATACTAACAAAGTCATGCTCTCTTACCAAAAATCCTAGACTCTTCAGTATATAGAAGCCAAGCAGCTAAGAAGCTTATAGCTGTACAACTTCCAAAGGTAGGGAATGCATCAGCTCAAGGAGACTTTCACCTATGGAATGACAGCCTTTTAAACCACTTTAAAGCTTGAGCACAAAAGAAAAAAACACAGAATCAGATACAAGTAATACAAAGAGTAGACCTATGGAAATTGAAGCTAGAAAGCAACATAAGAAGTCGATATTAATTTTGGTTTAGAGCATCAAAATTAATAAGCATTGGAATGTTTTTCCTTTTGTCTCAGGTTAGTTGTCTTTTGCTGCACTTGTCATCTCCTGACAGCAGAAAAATACTTGGAAACGACACAGAAATACTTGAGCTATAGATGGGACCAAATAGTTTTGAAAAAGAAAGGGTTGCAAGCACGGAATGTCATGTGGGTTACCGTAATACCAGAGCACTTATGGGCCCAGGATCTTCTGCAGTCAGTGCCATGCATTAAAAGGGAAAGCAGCGAAAAAAGGGCCCTCATCAAGTTAATGCTGTTCTCACAAGATGCAATACTCTCCCTGAACTAGAATTTTATTTCAAGGGATGGAAAAAAAAATCAGTGTTTTTAACATTACATCATGGTCTGAAGTACCAACACCCTTATCGCTTTTTCTGACTGCAAGGGAAGCACCGACAGCGCACCGACGCGGCAAATCTCACCGCAGGTAACGCAGCCGAAAAGCTCAACCTCTTCCCCACAGACCGGGCCGCGGGGCAGTAACGCGGGGTGTTCTATTCCTGAGAATCGGGATCCCGGCCCCGGGAATCGGGATCCCGCTCCCCCCGGGGCCGCGGCCTGCGCGGAGGCCGCGCGGGGATCCAGGGGCGAGAGCGCGGCCAAGGCTCTGCTCCGCTCCGCCCCGACAGCAGCCGCGGAGGAGCCCCGGGGCAGCCGCGGGCAGGGGCGAGGCCGCGGCCCCGCTCGCAGGGCCTGGCCCGGAGCCGCTCCGGGAGCGCCGCGGGCCCGGCCGTGACTCACGGCGCACGGGCGGCTCCCCGAGCGCTGCCGCCGGCACTCACCTGCCGCCCGCCCGTCCCGCTGTGCTGTGCTGTGCTCCGCCCGGGCCCGGCCCAGCCCCGGCTCTCTGGCCAGTCAGTCCCCGTCCCTGGCCCCGTCCCTATCCCTGTCCCGTTCCGCTGCCGCTCCCGCGGGGAAGGAGCGGGAACGGGCACGCGGCCGCCGCCCGCAGCGCCCCCTGCCGGCCAAGGGCGCCGCCGCACCCCGCCCGTCGCCTCAGCAACCGGGGGGGGGGGGGGGGAAGGACGGGGCACGCACAAAATAAACCTTTAATTTATGTTTAATTTGTATTTCCATCTGCATCCGATACCATACCGATAATTTATAGGTCCATCTGACCAGCGTCAGATGTTCAGGTTTTACACAAATGGGAGCACGATGTCGAAGCCAGAGCCTCATAAAAGCTCAAATATTCTTTTTGTATGAATGTAGATGGCCCTTTGAACTACTGTATAGGAAAATATATATTAAAAAAAGGATAGGAAAATCGGAGAATCAATGGAAAGTATATTATAATTATATAAGTACAAGGAAGAGATACATACAGTGTAAGGAAGACAAGGAGCTACTGGAGAGGATTTGGCAGAGGCCACAAAGGTGATGAGGGGTCTGGAGCATCTCTGTTACCAAGATAGACTGCAGGAGTTGCTCCTGTTTCACCTGGAGAAGAGAAAACTGAGAGGGGAATCTCATAAATGCACAGAAATATCTCAAAGGCAGGTGCCAAGAGGTGCCAGACTTTTTTCAGTGGTGCCCAGTGACAGGGCAAGGAGCAATGGCCATAAACGAAACCACAGATAAGTTCCACCTCAACGTTAGGAAGAATTTCTTTACACTGAGGGCAGCAACAGCTGCCCAGGGACGTCGTGGAGTCTCCTCCCTGGAGACATTCCAAACCCACCTGGATGCATTCCTGTGTCACCTGCTCCAGGTAACTCTGCCTTGGCAGGGGGTTGGATAGGATGGTCTCCAGAGGTCCCTTCCAACCCTAAGGATTCTGTGATTCTGTCATACATATATAAATATGGGTTTGAAAATTAAAACAAGCAACTCTCTCCCCTTCTCCCAATTTATAATCACAAAGGAATCCTCCCTTTTGCTCACTTTGTCACTAAGTTGTATTTGTCCACAAAGCAGAACATTTCAAACAGCATCTTATTATTTTGAAAAATTACTCATTTATGTTGAAGACACAAGGGAGGCCATTGCAATTGCTTATTTCCATGACTTAAAACAGTTTATGGAATTTTGCCAAGTATTTCATTCATTGAGTTATTCTGCTCTGGCTTAGCCTGCGTTTACCTAATCTTAAGAGCAAGCTTTCAATTAGCAGAGAATCCACAACATCCCTAATGGAGTTGCTCCACTGATTAGTAAAAAAAAATTATACCCTACTCCTGGCCTCAATTTTATTCATTAGCTGGCAGGTGAGACTGGACTTACTCTGTCTATAGCCTTTGTTTTGAAGCTGGAAACATGTCTTTAGGGTGATTTGCTTAGAGCCACATGGAAAGAGCTTCATCCTCTGATCACATGGGAGTTCTGGTAAAGGTGTCCTTTTGCTGGTACACTGCTGAGCCCTCAGAAATTAAATAAATGTGGAGCATCTATGATCTTCTTCGCTGAGTTACCAATCAAACAAGATCCTGGCATCCCAGTTCAGTTTCTTCTCTGCTGTTTATTCCAGCTATGGTTGCTGAGTTTTCTCCAGGACAGCTTGTAATAAAGCTCTCATAAATTGGCTATAGCCACCCAAATGGCTGGATGCCCACATGCTTCTCCCTCTATTCACCAAAAGGTTTTCCATATAAATATTCCAAAAAAGCACTTCCCCCAATTCCCAGCGGAGGGCAGTGATGAGAACTTGAAATCCATACTTTGCCAAGGGAAAGGAGAGATAAAAAAAACAAAAACAAACCCAAGTCCAACCCTTTGCTTTGAATTCAGTCTTGCTTGGTGAGGCAAACTCTGATGAACCAAAGCACAACACAACTTCTGTACCTTTTGACTGATTTCTTCCCCACCCAAAGCAGCAGAGCCCAACGCCACTTACACCAGATAAAAAGATAAGGCTTTAAGTGAAAGAGAAACATCTGAAGAGGATCCTCTTTGAAGCTGCAGATCCAGTTCAAAGTCACAGGCATCAAACAGAGCTATCAATGCTTAGGACAGAAAAGTCTAAATGAGTCTTATTTTCTAAGCCACCAAGTGCTTGGGATGTTCAGGCAGCTCTTGGCCAGGTTTTAATCACTCAGAACCAATTCCAGCTCAAAACGCAGAAAAGTCCATGTGATATTCACATCCTTGTTTAAATGGGCAACACAGATGATGCTTATTTCACTTAGCAGAGATGTATCTTCTCCAAAATAAGAATGGAGTAAACTCTTTTTTCAATGAAAGCAGGAAGCATAGTCCATGATGATAACCTTTGCTAGAGGTAGATTTTTTAGCATTTAAAAGGACATATAGGAGGTTACCTGAGGTATCTTGTATAGCATCAGGTTTCTTGCTCTTTTGTTACATGGGCTCAGATTTTGGATCAAATTGGAAAGTCAGGTTGGAAACCAGACTGATATCTGAGGGTAAAATCAGGAGGGCTCACTGAGATTCCCATGCTAAAGCAAACTGCCCAGACTGCAAATCTTTCTTCTGTTTCACCAGCATTATTTTGCAAGTTTTCCATAATTTTTTCATGTTTTAGGTATCCAGACCCAGAACTACCACAAAAAAAATCACACCATGGTAATGGCAGCAAAGTCTAAAATTTGCATTTGAACAAGAACTGATGATCCCCTTTCCCTGAACCATCCTGTGCATTTAACACACAGTAGTAACCACTCATAACCATTTCATAGTTACCAGGAAAGGTAAAACTCACCTTATGCTGTAATAAACAGAAATTTAACCTGCTAGTCCATGTTACTGAAGCAGCTACTTCCAAACCCCTAGCCACAGTTGGATTTGCTCTCTCCTAACTGGAGCTCAGCTGGAGCTTCAAAATAAATGTAAGGATGATGATGTCCACCTTTTATTATGGAGTCGATCCACTGCAAAACTGGTTAGTGTTATCTGAAACAGAACTGACCAGTGTACAAAGTTTAAAGCTTACTGGGGACAACAATGTGTTGAAGAGGCCTGAGTAAAAACCCTGACACTCCCCTCATCCCTCCAAAAAAAGCGAAATCCTCATCAAGAGAGCTCAAATCCCTCCCACAATAACAGTTGGTTGGCAACTGAAGTCCAGAGTCAACCAACATATCCACAGAAGCGCTTCCATTGCACCCTCATGCTCTTATATTTGCCAGTGAGTAATTTCCCTAAATATGTTTCTCTCTTTCAAAGTTAGTATTGGATACAAAAATATAACACTGCTTATTTGTTTGTTTAAAATCTAATTTTGGTAATGAAAACATGAAGGATATTTTTCAAAACCAAACCAGATTGATTTAGCAAGGGCTTTAAAACCACCCAGCTGAAACACTTTAATAATATCTGCTCTCTTATCACAGTTTTTTACAGCCCACATCTAAAACTAAAATAAAATTACTTATTTTGAGGATCAACGTGTGCAGGAACAAATACCATGTGCATCTGGGACTTCCCACCCACAAATAATGCAAATTCTACTTCTGTTCCCCATCATCATTAACTGATGTGTGCAATTCCCATCTCCTTCCTTCCAGCCTTTTCCAAAGGCAGAGCTGCCAACACCAAATCACACCCCAAGGCTGAAGATTCCTTAAATTCTCACTTCAGAATTCACAAGTCTACCAACCATATCATTTTAATTTAGTTGTTAGTATATACATTAACACTCAAAAGTGTGATAAAAACCAAACAAAAGTAGGTTTTTTTAATAAACAGCATGATACAGACTGCGAAGATAAATAAAAAGCAGACTTTTTACAGTTTCCCATGAACATAACTACAATAAGTATCATAGGCCAAACTTTTGTTACTTGAGTAGCACAGCAGAAGGGGTAAAAAAAGGGATTGTGGTTTTGTTTTTTTTATTTAAAGTACTGCAAGACTATTCTCAGTATGACAACACATGCATCTTTGCTGCATTTTAAATACTTTTTGGCCCATTATTACTAAAAATGTCTTGCTTTCTACCTACTTTACCACAGACCTTCATCACAGAATGACACACACATGGCAACACCACCCCACCCCCCACCCCCAGTAGTGGTTATTTCAAAGGTAATTGTCTCATTTTTAAAAGATATTTCAAGCACTGGTAGGGTGTTTATACTCTCCTTTCGATGCAGACATGTAACTGGCTACCAGCTTCAATGAAGTTACATAGAAGCATCAAGAGGTGACACCCTCCTGGGCTCTATTTACCCAAAATGCCAACAGGATCCTGGGCTGCCTTTGGCAGAGTAGGTCACGGGAGGTGAGCCTTCATCCTGCCCCTCTGCTCAGCACTGGTGAGGCCACACCTTGAGCACTGGGGTCCCCTGTACCAGCCTGACATGGATGTACTGGAATGGGTCCATGAAGGGCTATAAAGACGATGGATAGGAAAGGAGGCTGAGAGAGCTGGGATTGCTTATCCTGGTCAAAGAGAAAGCTCAGGGGGCATCTTGTCAATGTACATAAATACTTGATAGAGAGGAGTAAAGACAGGCAAGGCTCTTCTCAATGGTGCCCACTGAAAGGAGGGCAGGCAATGAAACAGAAGATAATTCATACAAACATTAAGGGAAAAAAATTGACTGTGGATTCTTGTTTCTTGGATAGGCTCTAAACCCAACTGGGTGATATCCTGGGCAACCTGCTCCAGAGCTGACCCTGCCTCGAACAGCGTGGCTGGGCCAAATGA